TTAATTAATTATTTGTCCTATTCCAGACTTTCCAGATACAAGAATTGTCCTTGCGTACATCTGATCTTAGATTTAGGTCTGAAATCGTTATCTTTACCTGTTCCTCCGTTACAGGTACAAAAAACTCCTATTCCAAAACCCTATTGACCTGTGTACTCCTCGAGAATCGTAGATTAATATACGGACACTTCCTCCCATTCCTTCCTGGTTTTCTACTCATTTTCTTTGTGAAACAATAATTGAAAAATTTGATGGTATAGAACGAATTATAAGCCAGACTGCGAGCAGTCTCTTAATTTTTCCTAGCATGCGACGCGAATGCAAGAGAAGAACGATCGAACGAAGAGAAGAGAAGCGCGGATGCGGAAAGAAGGAAAAGAAAGGGTTTTTCCCCAGTGTCTCGCCTCACATTCCCTTTTCGTTTCTTTCCCTAATTTGCACAGACGATTTCACGGAGGATTTCACGAGGAACAAATACAGACTGCTTGTAGTTTAATTATAAGCCAGAACTGAATAAATCGGAAAGTGGTTTTATGGGGCAAAGAGTCGTACCTCTTTGGTAATATTCTAGTGTTTTATGTTGTTATATCACAAGGCTCTACGGTAAACACATTTTGTTTTGTTTCGGTAATAGGCTATCAAGAGCTACAATGACTCAATTGCTGTTCAGTCTGAATGGAAGCAGTTCCATCACATTTGTTACTGGGAGCTCATGTGGTGTTATACGTAAGTTTGTCTTCATTGAAATCTTCAGGGGAGTAGAAGAATCATGAGTTATGACACTTTCAAAGAAGCTACATCACGGTTTGCGGTTTGCGCGTCTTGAAAAGTTTAGCGTAAAATTTTCAAGTTCATCGTTTGTAATCCGTGTTAATCTTCTCCATCCTTAACCATCCTTGTTCCTTTATGGTGTATTATTATCGCTTTAGAGTTTTTCTATCGTAGTAAACTACTATTTTCAGTTTTTCTTCAATTTAAAGGTACTTTAGTGCCTGGCCAAAATAACTCAAAATACCGTGACTGAGCTCCTTTAAGCTGCACTTTTAATTGCGCAAAACCGCCAAATATGTCTCGGGAAACTGATTGATTGTATTGTTAAGGAAACTAGGCAATGCGTAATAAATCAAAGAGCAACCTCAAAATGAATTGATGTCTACAGACTAATAAACTTACATGTACCTTTGTTTATCGCCAGGTACAAGGGGGACTGGGCCAGAGCCTACCACTACGCAAGTGTTCTTTTGCGAGAAA